AAAGAAATTGAATCTGAATAGAAACATTCATCACAATATTAATACTATAATAGCACATAAATAACAATGCTTAGAAGGCAGCTGCCTTGGTAGACAACAGACATCAAGGCAGCTCACTAGATTTTAGTTGCTACAAATTCGTCTACACGTTTAAACCTGGTGTGTTTTGCAAAAGATGCAAGATCCACTCTGCAAACAGTCGCACTTGACACCTTAGAATAAGAAAGAGGAGAACAAACCACACACAAACTTGATTCTTAATTGTAGAATGCTAAATACACAGAGAAAGCAGCCTACATATAGGGAAACTATATCCTGAAAGAAACGGAGGAAAAAAGACAGGGAGAGGAGAGGCGCGTTCCCGACAGAAGAACAATGTTCTGTCAGAAAAGTAGGTCATCTTGTTGAGGGGTCAGAGAAAGGGCATCCACTCAATTCAGAGAACTCTTCGATTCACTCACACACACAAACAGCTAACGAACCATCGTTTCACATGCAGCAAATACACAGGTGAATTCACTCACCAAACAGTGTCTAGCTTTATATCGAGAGCATTGCACACTATAAAGGAAAAACTGCTACATATACTGATCCTATCCTACCTTTCTCCAATAATCATTCTCTAGTTTCTAATAAAAAGATTAAAGTCATTCCAGAAACACTGCAAAGCATCTCTCTTAGGCCATGTTTACACCTGGTATAAACGTCCGTTTGAACTGTTAGAAAACGCTCATCGGATGATGTCAGATTAAAATGATATTCGTGAGAAATAATTTAAGAGATAATAACTGGAAAGCAAAAAAAATAGCATGTTGCTACCAGGTGTAAACAGGGCCACATACCTCCTTTAGCAATTGCTTTCTAATAAAAGCTATAGAGACAGTCCCAGAAGCAATTAGGGGCATAGTGGTGATCGAGGAGGTCTGGGATCTCGGTAACGTTGGTTTTTGGGTCACCCTGACTCGGTTCTGAACTTTCGACCTCCATTTGATGTCACGTCTCAAGCGAGTAAAAGTTAAGCATACGAAGCCGAGAAGATCTGAAACCATATGCCACAATAAACAAAATACACAATCTGATGTCTCAGTGGAATATTTAGCTTTTAACAGATGGTTATTATCCGCTCATGTCTGTTTATCACTATACTCGGATTGTCGTCTGCATGTGTGGCCTCATAATTAATAATCAGAAGTTGTGACAGATTAAATCCATTAAGAGAATATTGCAAATACTGGATTTAGTTACATTATGGGAGGCCTGTTTGAGTTTACAGAGCGAAAGAGAAAGATTTCTTCTTTTTGTGTCAATTGTCAATGTTAATCTACACAGTATTTTCATTAATAACAGACACATAAGCACACAGACGGAGTTTTGCATTTGAGATGATTCTTTCTTTTGTGTTCCACAGATGAATACGGTTAATAAATGATGACAGAATATTCATTTTTGGCTGAAGCATTCCTTTAAATAAGCATTCATTGACTAGCCAGAACAAGAAAGAAAGCGAGGGAGAGAGAATTACTGAGAAAACATATCCTATTAATTGTCTCGGAGATAAATCAACATGAAAAGAGTAATGCAGCTCTAGATTGTGTTGAATGTCTTTTGATCCATTCATCATTAGAGCATCTAACTTGGCCCAAATGAGAGATGGTTCAACCACCAGCACTGTGGGGCTTCATTAACGTCACCCCACTGCTGTTCATTTATAAACATTAGACCACAATCAGACACAAACTCTCAGTGGCTGAAACCACAGACCACCAGCTACTACAAACACGCTGACCCCTCAGCGGATCTTTCCAAAACAAACCATGTGTGCAGTGTATGGATGAGCCGCAGGGTCTGAAATATCAGCCGTGTTATGATAATGGATAACCTTATAATCTTCATGTTGTGTTCATGTCTTTTTCCCGAAGATGTTAGTTAATATTATTGAACTGGACTAAAACTTCATACAGGTTATAAATTTTTTTGATAATTTCTGTACTTTTTTTGTGATTTGCTTTTACAACAGTGGTGTTCATGGACAAAAATTATCAGCCTACAGAAACACGCTTATAATTTTGTTGCTATGCTATATTATTACAAAATAATGGATTCAATCTTTTCATCAAATTGACCCTTTACAGAGAGTTTGATTGACAGGCGATCTGACCAATCATAATGCTGAATCTGCCATTTTTGTCTGACAAACCAACCAGACGCGCTGGTGGACTTGAACTTGAAAAATGTGTGTACTGACATCTTCCCGCATTTGAAACAAGATACCGTCTGATGTTTTTTCATGTTTATTTCGCGCTATAATCAGAAAAGAGGAAGAGATTAGTGGTCGACCGATATTGGTTTTTTGACAGCCGATGCCAATATCTTGGAAGCACTCAGTATTCTGGGAAGTTTGTGTGCATTGGGAATCATTTTTAAAAAAAAATAAAGCCAAGGTAACACTCATTTTACATACAGCACGCAATGAAAATGACATGAATAATTGAACTGGATTCGACTAAGTTTGCAAGGTTTGTGAAATTAAATTTTCATTAGCCATTCAAAGATGTGTTCAAATTATGTAAATGCATATTGCTGAATGCTGACGGCAAACAAGAAAGTATTATAATGTTTGCCTTTCTATTACTAATAATATAAAAGCAATCATTATAATACTTTTTGTATACATTTTAATTCCTTTGTTTAACAGTTCTATCGGATTATTAGACAAACTTCTATCTGTTAACGACGACGGCGAACAAGAGGGAGAACGTGAGCACTGTGTGCGCTCAGGCGCTGCCGCTCTCAGCGCCGTCAAAATAAAAGTCCGGCACGCCGTCGAAATAAAAGTGAATAAAAACTCCCAACTCGAGCGCATCGGCCAAATAGAAAAACTTATCGGCCGATGCCGATATTTGAAAAATGCCAAATATCGGCTGATATATCGGCCTTGGCGATATATCGGTCGACCACTAGAAGAGATGATCAGATCACATGCTGCTTGAACGGAAGAGCTACAGCAATCTGTCACGACACGTTAAAGAGCAACAAAACGGTATTTATTGTTTGAATTTCTTAAAAAAGACAAAATCTGAAAGCTGAGACTTTGTTTCATACCTAAAGTAACCTGCTCTGTCTTGTCTGTCGGTGCATTGTCAGTTTTCTCTTTGCACAATGTATTTTTCACTGCATGAGAACATGATGTGTGGCGTGAGAGAGGCATGGTTTGTCGGACATAGCAACAGTAACGAAGGGGGGCGGGTCTTTGCGAAGGGTCAATTAGCACAGGTTTTGTGTTTTTTTTTTGGAACTGACTGATCGTAGGCCTCAATGATCTGAGCTTGAGCTGAACATTGCCAAAATGATCCACAAATAATGCTTTTTTCATATTGAAAACTGTAAACAACATGAGCATATTAACACCAAATTTTACATAACACGTATTCATATTCAGCAACTTGGCTTATCTTAATTATAGGAATATTTTACTTAAAAATGAAATTCTGTCATCATTTATTCCCTCAGTCTGTGCTCACTGGACTCCAATGTTGTTTGGTTTACAACGTTCTTCAAAATACCATCTTTTATGTTTCACAGAGGAAGAAACTCATACAAATTTGGAATGACATGAGAGTGAGTAAATGATGACAAAATGTTCATTTTTGGGCGGACTACACTTAAAGGGGTCATATGATGCAATTTAAATTTTTCCTTTCTCTTTGGAGTGTTACAAGCTCTTGGTGCATAAAGAAGATCTGTAAAGTTGCAAAGACTAAAGTCTCAAATCCAAAGAGATATTCTTTATAAAAGTTAAGAGTCAGCCACACCTACCTAAAACGGCTCGTTCTAACACGCCCCCACATACCTACGTCACGATGTGGGAAGATTTGCAAA